TGTGAGGAAGCGTGGTGGAATCAGGCTCTAGTCAAAATAATCAAAATGAAGAAACTTGCATTTTTCCGCAGGTTTGTGAGTTTTTATCAGATTTTTGTTTTTTGACTCAACATCTTTCATGCCCTGTAAAGAACTCATTTGTGTGCATTTTTCTCTGAAAAACCTTGAGTAAAGGCACAAAAAATGTACATTTTTGGTTACCACGGACTCTTAAGCTACGGAAATAACTAATATTTGTGGCCATTTTCTCACTAATTTTACCTCCGAAAACAGGTGACCCCACCCCCCTTCCACCTCTTTCTTTTGCATATATCTCGACTTGTATTCAAGATAAATGGATTTTTTTTTTCATCCAAATAAAGACAAGTGAACAAACTTTAAGATGATACCAATAACTCTAAATGCCCAAAAACTGACGAGAGCCTGATTCCACCACGCTGCCTCACATATTGAACTCTTCAAGGAATGGTTCGATAGCCTAGAAGTTAGGCGGCGGACCCGTAATCATAATATTGCAGGTTTGGGTATTCAAGCCTGGGTTTATGCCCAGGGCCCATTGGCACGATTGGTTCGGTATGGTTCGGTTTGGTTTGGTAATACCGGGTGCCCATTGCGGGAGGGATCGGGTCGGGTCGGGTCGGGTCGGGTCGGCCACGATATCCGCTTTGCGCCCTCAATCTGGCTTGCAAACCGCCCTAACCTGACCCGATCCCATGCCAGATTGAGGGTGCACAGCGACCATCGTGGCACGAACCGATCGCCCAATCGGGTTTGTGTTCAAGGAGGCGAGTCGGGTGATCGGTTAGCGATCGGTTTGTATTAGAGAACCGATCCGCCAATGAGCATTGGGAATAGATCCCACGATGTGTCCCGTGAAAAGGCTGAATCATGATTGCATTCCTCACCCTGGATCCGGGTACAGGCCACGAACAAACACTTTCCACCTGTTCCTATCCTGGGCTAGCCTCTTGGTGTTATCCCATGTCTTCCCACTTCTCTGTACTTGTCCACTGTCCTTCATTATTCCTGCTGATGTAAAAGCTCCTCTGTCTCCCAAAATCGAACAATGAATAGGTGTTTTTGTTCGTGTTTCTGTAACTTTCAGTGTTTACAGGGTTGGGTAGTTGGCCCTCAGCAAACGGGCACTTTCCGGAAGACCAGACTTACGAACTTTTAGTCGCCTCTTATGACTCACAGTATCAAGGCAGGTGTTATTCTTT